GCTGACGGGAGAGGGCTCACACCCAGAGAAGACTGTCTGACGGGAGAGGGCTCACAGGCCTGGTGCCCCCTTGCTCAGTAGCAGGAGCTTCAGCTTCCTCTTCCAGGTTGCTGTGAGTCGCTGGGTGGAGGTGGACACCTGTCCGTGCTGTCCAGGCTGGTGGGGATCCTGCATGAGCTCATGCTCCGGGGAGGGCAGAGGGTGGAGTGGGGGCATGTGAAATGCCCCTGCGCAAGCCAGGCCCACAGACTCTGCGTCTGCCGTGATATGGACTCTTGTTTAACTATTTGGTGAAGAAACTGTTCCTCCAGGGCATGTGTCAGGAGGGCACTGTTACTGGGCAGTAACTTCCCCTCAGTGACTTAGGATCCAGCACCAAGGTGAGAGTGTGACTTGGCAGAATTTGAGGGCCTTGGTGTCTTAGGTGGTAGATCTCCCTTAAAATACCAGAGATGGCTCTTCTATGTTTATTTTAAAAACAGCCATACATTGGGCGCCTGGGTGGCTCAGTTGGTTGAGCGACTGCCTTCGGCTCAGGTCATGATCCTGGAGTCCCGGGATCGAGTCCCACATCGGGCTCCCTGCTCTGCGGGAAGCCTGCTTCTCCCTCTGACTCTCCCTGTCTCATGCTCTCTATCACTGTCTCTCTCAATAAATAAATAAAAATCTTTAATAAAAAAAAAATAGCCATACATTAGCTATTATGTCTTAGTATCTTTAAGCAACAAATGGGCATGGACAGTTTGTGCGTGGTGGGGCGTAGGTCTCGGGCAGCACGGCATTGTTTCTGTAACGATACAGAGCAGGAGCTTGACACAGGAGAGGTGCAGGGGGTCCTGGGGCAGCCGCAGAAGGAAAGAGAACATGCTGGCTTGGAGTCTGCCATGCTGTTAAGTGTGGTCCCTGAGAAGTAGCCGTGAGCACTTCAGATCCCGTGTGTCTGCCTGCTGCAGGGACCTGTCCCACATGCCCTCAGCGGCACCCACTCCTGAGCTCACCCCGGTGGTTGTGGGTTGCAGTGTGGACTGGACACAGTGAGGTCTCGCCTGCTTCCCGGGGAGAGCGGGCCTGTCCCACCTGTGCCCGCAGGGCACTGATGCCCCTGTCGTTCCCTTGAGTTCAGAAGCTGGTGTTAACTGCCCACCCAGTGACATCTCTCCTTCTCTGCCTGGTCTCTACCTGTCTCCCGCAGGCTGGGGACTCGCTGGGCGACGGCAGCTCCGTCCTGGACTTCATGTCGATGAAGTCCTACTCTGACGCCTCTTTGGACATCTCCATGCTCGGCTCTCTGGGTAGGTTGTGCTGGGCATGCTCACATCATCAGGCTCCGCTGGAAGAAGTGGACCTGTTCTTGTCTCTGGTGCTGCATTAGTCTGCTGGGCGGTCCCCGGGGGCACGGGGCTGGTGCACTGAGGCCTGTCCTTGCTTCCAGGAATCTGGCCGCCGTCATCGGGACTCCCTCCCAGATGGTCCCAAAGCGGGGTTGCCCCAGTGGCCTTTCGGATGTCAGGCTCCATGTGAAGGATTGCGGGGGTCCCTCAGCCTGGTGGTTCATGCAGGGATGGGCTGCCTGCTTCGACTTTGCTGTTCGTGCGTTGGTGTGTGCACGTGCGTCCCCACGGCCCCCACCACGCGAGACATCCTCTGTGCTCTGCATGGCACTCGGGCTTTTGGAGTGTCCCTGGCCACCCACCTCCCTGATGACCAGTGGTTCTCGTGGTGCTGCTCCTCCTCTCCTTTACTTTGGACACACCTGAGCTTTACTGTGGGGCTTCTCACCTGAGAGCAATCCCCCCCCCACCATTGCGTGTGACAGTGTCTGGAGACATCTTTGGCTGTCACACTTGGGGTGTAGCGCTTCTGACATTGAGGGGTGGGGGCCAGATATGCTGCTAAACATTCTGAAGCACAGGGAGCAGCCCCCCAAGAACGACCCAGCCCCAGGGGTCACTGCTGCTGAGGATGAGAAACCCTGCCTACGTCAGAAGTGGGTGTCGTCAGACCTGCAGAGTGTGTGAGGGCAGGTCTTGCTTTGTTATCCAGCTTAGCAGGCTCTGCCTTTGGTTAGAGTGTTTTTAGACTGTATTTAGTGCAGTAACCCTATCCAGTTCAGGTCTAATGTCTTGCTACTGGTGATTTTCCCAATTGTTTGAGGGTCCCCCGCCTACTGCCCCGTTTGCTGGTTCCCTAGGACTCCTGGGATTTGCGGCTCTGGTTTGTTAGAGCAGAGGGACAAACCAGGATCCACAGAGGGACAGGGTGCACGGGATGATTCCGGGGGCGGAGACCAGGTGGCACTTCCAGAGCCCTCTCTGCTTGGCACGTCTGCAGATCCCAGGCTCCTGGAAGCAAAGCAGGTGTTCGGTGGAAACCACATCGATTGCATGGACGGTTGAGGTGCAGGGAGCTCCTCTGTCACTGCAGTGGTAGGGACCCTTTGAGATCCAAGTTCACCAGCCAGGGGCCAGCTCTGCCTTGTGGGCTGGTGGTCTGAGACTGCAGAATTAACACTCTGCCAGCTACTCTTTGTGTTTAAGACTTTCTCCTTTTTACTGGGTTTTAGTAGTTTGGTTATGACTTGCTTTGATGTGCTTTTGTTGAGATTGATCTTCCCAGGTTCGGTTCAGTTTGTTGGCCCCGGGGGTTTGTAGAGTTCATCAACTCTGGGAAGTTGGGCCATAATTGCAGCAGTCACCTGGGCCCCGGTTCTGCCGTTTGTCGCGAAGTCTCCTCTGCTTCGGGTGTGGCCGTCCCTTCCGCTGTGGCTGGCTTGCCGTGGCCCGTCCCAGGGTGGGGTGCAGGTCGCTAAAGACACCCTTCTCTCCCTGTCCAGGGGCTCCATCGGTTTTTCCAGCGTCTCCCCTTCTGCCCTTGCCGTTGTTTTCCTCTGCCTTTTGAGGAGCCAGTGCCCGGTCCCTGATGTCACGCCCGTCTTGTTCATGCCCTTCCTCCCTTGTTTGGTGGGGCCGTTTCCCTGCCCTCCGCTCTCCGGTAGCCGTTCATCACAGGCCAGACTGCGGCTCCGCTGTCGGGTGCTGTGTTGGGTCTTGTCTGACAGGCCATCAGGGACTTGTAGCCATCGGACCCTGTCCACGTTTTGCTTTGAGATGTTCTTAGGGTGGCCCCAAGCCACATTTAGTGTAGGCGGGACATAGTCCCACCATGGGGCCACACACTTCTGCAGACTTGGGCCACAGATTATTGCAGACATGTGTGAACTCCCTGGTGGGGTTGTGTCCTCTCATGCACACACAGGTCCCTCTCGGCCCAGACATGGGAGCTCTCCAGGCAGCCCATCTTCACCAGCCCTCAGCCTGCCCACTGCCCAGGGCACCCCCTGGCTCTGGCCTGTGCTCTGTCCCGGTGTCTGCAGGCCTCTGTAGCACACACTGTCCTGCTTCTTACTTGTTTATGCCGGTGGGGGTGGGGGGCAGCAACTCTGTGTGTGAAATGGCTCAGATTTGACGTGGCACCTGGATTCTTGTCCACTCCGGCGGCCCTGCCCCGCCCCGCCCAGCTTCGCGCACGTTGCCTCCCATCCTGAGCGTGCACAGAAGTGAGGGAGAGACCATGCGGCATGCTGCGCTGGCCCAGGCAGCCGGATGCCTGATGTCCGTCCGCCCTGTTTGCACAGGGAAAGTGAAGAAGGAGCTGGATGCTGACGACAGCCACTTGAACTTGGATGAGACAGCGAAGCTCCTGCAGGATCTGCACGAGGCACAGGCAGAGCGCGGGGGCTCCCGGCCGTCCTCTAACCTCAGCTCTCTGTCCAACACCTCCCCCTCCGACAGGGACCAGCACCACCTGGGTAAGGTGGCCCCGGTCCCCAGCATCTGTCTTACTGTGCAGGTGCTGGGTGGCATCTGGGTAAAGGGCAGGAGCGCCGGCAATCCTGGCACGTCGGAGCTGATGCAGGCTGCGTGTCCAGCCTCCAGGACTCCGAGGGCCCTGCTCCCTCTCCAGGACGCCCCCTGCCCGCTGGGTTTCCGAATAACCGCTCCCTCGTCAGGCAGCTGCATGGGGGTGAAGTGTTTGAGTGGAATTTACTCAGTGTTAGGCATTGTGGGTCTTGTCTGTAAGGTGCTGGCCTTCCCCGTGTCAGGAGCCACATCCCAAGGCCTTTGGACTGGGCAGAACGAGGCCCCAGATGCTGACAGGCATGTTGAATTCACCTTTGGGGATGTTTGTTTCTTCCTGCTGTTCCCGTTTTTAGTCCTGAAACAGGGTGTTGAGAAGTGCTTTGTTCTTCCAGGACCCTGATTTGGGGAGAGCAGGTGACCTTCCTTGGCCTGGGGCCTTCTCTCTTTAATGAGTGACAGGGTGGGTAGGTGCATGGACCCCACCAGGATTTCGGCCCGTCCAGGAGGGGAACGAGATACTGCTCCCTGGCCTCTGGAATCTGCTCAGTGAGCTCCCCATGCTGCTCTTCCAGTCCCTGATCCCAACAGTGACTCTGCAGGGCACCTCCTGACCTTGGGCAGTTGGGGGGCGCTTAACAGCTATAGACGTTTGAGTCCCAGCCCGGGGAGATGAGGGGGTGGCCTGGGCCCCGGGAGAATAAGTCACAAGGATGTGTTTCCAGCCGGGGCTGAAGCACAGCGTGTGTGCAGACCCGTCGTGTGAACGCCCCATCTTTCCCGCACTTGCAGGAAGTCCTCGCCTCAGTGTTGGGGAGCAGCCGGAGGTGACCCATGACCCGTACGAATTCCTTCAGTCTCCAGAGCCTGCAGCTTCTACGAAGAGCTAGCCTTGTAGTCTTCCATTATTTTTTAAATTTTTTTATCTGCATGTACAGAGTTTTTGTCTTGAGACAAAGACTTTCCTTTTGTCCCCTTTGGCGAGCGGGAAGCAGCCCCGGGGAGGTGGTGAGTTGTGTCTGATATCATGTCGGCCGTGCTCAGATCCAGCGTTTCTGTGCACAGCCCTGTGAATCCTGAATAGTGGAGATCACACAGAACGGTGTGTGGCCGATGTGGTCGAGTCGGTGTGTGTCTGAGCTTTGCGCTGTCTGTAAAGCCCATCCGCGCGGCTGGCCTGGACACACCTTCCTGCCCCAGCGCCCTTCCTGAGAGCCCCTTGGGAAGCAGACGTACCCATGGCAGGGTTCCTGCCTGTTCTCTGCCCTGCCTGCCCCCCACACCCCTGCGTCTCCGAGGGAGGTCATGGGGGGCTGCACCCTCCTGGCCCGGGACAGGCTCCGTGCTCCTGTTTCCTGTGCTGGTCAAGGCCTGCCTTCTGCTGGAAGACCACATTGCCTCCCAGCCACCGCCACGTGCTGTGTCTGGAGACCTTTCTGTCCCGATGTGTTTACTGGATGCCTGTTTACATTTGCGAAACAGAGATCTCAATAAAAACACAGAGTGATTGCGTGTAATTGTTAGTAGTGCTGTAAGTATCCACTTAGTGACCTTTTAGTGAAAACCTTTGTCAGGAGAGGTCGACAGCGTCCGTTCGTGATGCTCGCCGTCTCCCCTCTCCTCTGCGTCTGGCCCAGGTCTCCCGCTGCAATGACATCCGACTTGACTCACCCCACACAAGTTCTGCTTGTGTTCCTTTTTTAGAAAACAAAATTAGGGGCTGTTACGTCCTGGGGTGGAGTCAGTCCTGGGAGAGAGTGTGGACGTGAGGCAGTGGGCAGCATGACGTGCCCCAGCCCACGAGGCCACTGCCTGCCGGGTGAGCAGGGCCCCTCGCGGACATCAGTAAGAGGTCGCCCAACGTTGCACAAGCAAGGCCGTGAAGGCAGAGTGCCGGCAGAGGAGCGAGTCCCCTGGGAGGGTGAAGCCCACGGTCAGGCTGCAGGCCTGCCCCCAGCACCCCAGGTCTCTCTTTCCCACCATGGCGTGGGGGTGCGCTCTGCCCCGCCCAGGGCTCCGAAGGTGAGGTTCTGGGCAGGGTGTGGCCCTGGGTTCTGGTGCTGAAGTGGCCTTGCTGAGCCCCCGTTTCTCCCTGGCCCTCAGCCGGAGTTCACAACCATGCCTCCGTGACAGGGACGTGGCGCATGTTTGCAGGACCTGCTGAGACCGTATGAGCCGTGGAGCCCCAGACCCACCCCAAGGGAGTAGTCTCCAGATCGAGGGCCCCACAGATGTGCCGGCAGCTGGAGGTGCCGCTCCTCACAAGCCCGTACTGCAGACGGGCAGATTGGGCTGGGCGGCTTGGAGACCCTGCTCTGGGCACAGCCTCTGCAGAGCCAGGGGCTGCTACTCAGAAGGCCACACGCCCAGTGGAAGGGAAGACCAGGGGGGCGTCTGAGGACAGGAGGGCCCTCCGACCAATCTTTTTATTTCAGTGAAGGTCACATGATCTGAAATTAACCACTGACTGCTTTAAAGTGTGCAACTGAGTGGCAATTGGTGCATTCACAGTTTTGTGCAACCAACACTTCTGTTGAGCTCCGGAATATTTCCATCACCCCGAAAGGAAACCCTGTCCCCATTAGCAGCGCCCCTCAGTCCCTCCTGGAGCCCCTGGTGACCACTCTGCTTTTGGCATCCATGGATCTTCCTGTTCTAGTGGAGTCTTACGCTACGTGGCCTTTTGTGTTTGGCTCCCTTCCCTCAGCACAGTGTTGATGTGTCAGTTTGGGCCCAGAGGCCCCCTCCCCTTGCCATAGACCCCGTCAGGGCTCAGGCTGCTCCTGGGTATGTCACAGCCATGAAGCGGGTCCTGGGGCTTGGGTTACCTCACTGGGCCCTCTGCTCGAGGAGGCCGGCAGGATTCCGGTCAGAACCCACAGATGCTCTCGGTGGTCAGATAACTGAGCAGGTGCCCAAGGTAGGGGTGTCCCTCGGAGCCACGTGAGCCAGGCATTGGCCACAGACCGCACAGCAGGACCATGGCGCCTCGGCCACCGTGTCAGCAGGACATGCCAGGGAGAGGGGCTGTCTGGGCCGACAGTGCTGGACGAGGGGGATTCATCTTCTGCTCTCTTCCTGCTGGAAGCTACACTCGGAGCAAGACCAGCGCTCGGGAGTTCGCACACGTCAGTGTGTGTGCGCATGTGGGCTCCTATGTGCGTTTGTGTTCATGCACGTGGCGCGCCTGTGAGCGCGAGCACGTGTGCGTGCACGTTCGTGTCAGTACCTGTGTGTAGACGAGTGCGTGTGAGGGCCTGCGCCCTGCCTGTCCTGCACTCCGCCTCGTTCCCCCACCTGCCCCGCGGGGTCGACCTTGCGGGGGTGGGGCAGCTCAGCTGTGTGCACGGGGGGATTGCGGGCAGGCTCAGAGAAGCACCGCCCGTGATGAAGTTCGTGACTGACCTCGCTGTCAGGCAGGGTGATAATCGTCCTGGGGGGTGCTCCGCGCTCCATAAAAACTGTCGGCGCGGCTGCTGAGGGAACAAGAGTGGGTTGCGACGTGGGGGCCGATTGCACGCTTGTCCCGTTTGACTTTCTGGGCACGCAGTTGTGCGTGGGGAAGGTCCTGGTTGCCCCGGGCAGGGGGCTTATGCATGCTCTGGTTTTATGTCTGTTTCTTAATAGGCCCTGATGTTTGTAGCTTCTAAAGTTATTTTCGTGGAGCGGAGGTGTCTCTGAGGGAAGGTCATTTCTCAAAGGCGTGAGAGGCTCAGGTGGTTGTGGCTCTGGGTCCGCTGTCTGCAGACTCGGGGTGCCCTGGGGTAGTGCCTTGCCGGCCCCACTCCTCCGCGGCCTCCTCCAGGGTCTGCTGAGCTGCGGGGCACCGGGTGTTGAGCTCACAGGCCCCCCCATGAGGCAGCCTGCGCGCAGGTGTATCTGGAAAAGCATGTTCCATGCAGGAGGCGGAGACGTTGCTCATCACTTTGAAGGTCTGTAAAGACACCTTCCAGCATCTCGAGCGAGGCATCGCTGCGAACAGGGACCATGGCCTTGTTGCCAACGCTCGCACATGTTGTCCGAGACAAGGCCTTTCGAAGGTGAGCGCACCCCTGCCTCTGTGTTCAGTCCCCGCCGTCCACAGCCTCTGCTGTACCAGTGGCTGGGTTCTTGGGGCCCTGAGACTGTCGTCAGGCAGCCTGGTTGTCTGCCCTGGGTCTCTCTGGTGGCGCATTGGCCTGGCGGACAGTGGACGGTGGTGGCCGGCGGCCCAGCTGCAGAGTCTGTGGCTCCTACCTCACAGGGACACGGTTCCGGGTGAAGGTCAGCGCCCTGTGGTCCGCCGGCGCCAGCCCAGTCCTGCCCACGTGCAGGTGCTGGTGTGCAGGGTCCACAGGAGGTGGCCACTCTCCCCACTGCCTGGCTCCCCAGCCTCCAGCCCCCTCACTCCTCGGGGCCCCTTATCTGGGGCCCTGTCTCCTCCTGCCTACCTGTGGTCAGACCAGGCTGCCAGGATCAGCATCCCCGTCATCGCCATGGATGTTTTGCTCCTTGAGATCTCCTGGGACATGTTGGGCTGGAGGGACAACAGGCTGGGTGGAGCAGGACTGACCCAGACATGAAGACGGCCTCGGCACCAGCCACGTGGCCCAGCTCCCCGCCCAGCAGAGAGGTCCCCAGGCTCCCCAGGAGGGCTCTCTTGGCTGCTCCAAACTGACCCCTGGCCCCTGCCCACTGGTTTCTCTTCATCTTGGGCCTGGCCCAGCTGCCTGGTCGGAGGCAGACCCCCTGGCCACCGCAGGGGCCACACACAGCCCACCCGGCTTGGGTGGCTTCCCCAGGGAGGCGTGTGTCCCCCCACCAAGGAGGGGTCGGGATCTGAGAAGGCCATGTGGGGGTCCTTGGGCCCACATGGGCACCGGAAATGTCCTGCACTTGACAGTTGAGACCCTGAGGGGAGGGGAGAGGCAGGGAAAGGGGCTGCTGAGCCATCCTCAGGAGAGACCCCTTCCCGGCACACTGTCCACATGCGCTTCACCCCCGCCTCTTTTCCTGCCCTGGCCCTTCTGCGGCTCCTGAAGGGCAGACTCGGGACACTGCTGTCCCACCCGACCTGGACGGAGCACGCGAGCCTGGGTCCCCAGAGCAGACTTGGCCAACAGGTCAAGTGTCATGAGGAACCTTGAGATCGATGTCCCGGCCGCTGAAGCAGAGGTTGGGGGCCAGGAGCCTTCTGCTGGTTCGCCGAGGGGCTGCCGTGGGAGGTGGTGTAGTCGGAACTCGGGACCGTGTAGATGGACTCCGGCCTGGGGGTGCTGCCCACCAGCCCGGCCTGTCTGGGACCCCTGTGCCTTCTCTGCACCCCCCCTCCCCCCAGCAGGCAGTGGGGGCTCAGGGGGGCCAGCCCTGGCTTTATGAGGCACGTCCTTGGGTTCCGTCACTGCCGTGGCAACCAGGGGTCCTCACTTGGGTCTGGGTCCGGAGAGAGGCCCATGCCTTTCTGTCCAGCCTGGACCGGTGATCGGGTGGGGCAGACGGAGCAGGCGCTGGCTCCCGGGGAGGTGGGTGCCTTCTGCTTCTGCTGCGACCAGGGAACTCGCAGGCGCAACCTCCGCGCATCCCCAGTGGGACAGAGCGCACAATGGTGATTCGGAAGCTGTGAGGACCTGTGTCGGGCGACGGGGTTCTGGTCATGTGTGCGCAGTTGTGTCCTAGGTATGCAGGTGGGGGTGCCCAGGGCTCCGGGCTCTCGGGAGCACGGTGGGACAGGCAGGAGGAGGAGGGACCGTCTACAGCCGCGCGGGGCCCGGATAGCGGCCCCTGCACGAAGCTCCTGCCAGTTGGCCATGCTTGTATTGGGGACGCGGAGGTGACAACGGCTCAAGGCAGCATCGCAGCCCCAGCTCACCTTGCACCGAAACAAGGGCTAGAACCCTCAGGGATGACAGAACACAAACGTCAGGGACCGAACTTGGGCTCAAAGGGGCCCCGGGCCCCACCAGGGCTGCTCCCCCGAGCCCACTGCCTCGTCTGCCCAGTAGGGGATGACGATGCTCCCGTCCCGCAGACAGTCCAGAGGACCAGTTTCAGCAGTTACAGAAGGAGTAAATGAGGGCCCAGCTCAGACTGCACAGGGCTGGCAGGGAGGTCATCCAGAGAGAGTGACACCAGGACAGGCTCGAGGGGCAAGATGGCTGTTAGCGGGGGTGGGGGGACGCGGTTCCAGGCCAAGGAAATAGCCCAAGAAAGGTCGAGAATGAGCAAGGAGTCCAGAAACCCTGTGTGCCTGGGATGTGCATCGTGTGGTGTGTGTGGTGTGTGCGTGTCTGGGGAAGGTGGTGTCTCCACGGTGTCTCGTCCACACACGGAGCGCGCATTAACTGTGCCCATTCCGCCCCAGGAGGAGACGGGAAGCGCCACAGTTGTTGGGAGCCTAGCGTTTGGGTGCGGGCTTTGAACTGATGGGATCCCCCAAGAGCTAAGGATCGAGCCAGAAGGTACGCGCTTGCCCTCCGGCCGTACTTCAGACCAGGTGAGGGGAACACGTGGTTTTGGTGAGTGGAGGTGTGGGAGCCAAGCGGCTGCCGTGGGGGGGCGGCCGGACGAGGTGGCCCCACTGCCACCCACGTGTGCTCCCTCCAGGACCCCTCATCCGCCAGGGCCCGCGCAGCCGCGGAGCCCGCAGGGACGGACTTCCGCCGCGCCCGCCCCGCTGCTGCCCGTGACTGTGGGTAAGTGTGCGCCTCCCGCTGCCGCTCGGACCACAGGCCTGGGGGGGGCCTGGGGGGGTGACCCACGTGCCGTCCTCATGCCTGAGCAGACGCGGCCCCTGCGGTAAGTGGGACGCGCTTGCCCACCATGGAGTTCTGCCCTTGGTGCCTCCCGACTTCTCAGGGCCACTTGCAGGTGCGACGCGGGGGAGCTTCCCGGAGCCCCCAGAGGAGCAGGGACTCGGTGTCCCCGCAGGCCTCGCCCTCGGCCCCCGCGCTCTCTTGACACCGGGGCTGTTTCGCTTCCAACTACTCTCAGAACCTGAAGAATCGCTCCTTTAAATTTTACAAACTCCGATGCCAGTTGAACTTTGGGGTTTCCACACATGATCACGGTGACCTCTCCGTCCTGGGAACCCCTGCAGGATGGGGTGCCGCGCCCCTATCCTTGCCGGCACGGGCGGCCCTGGGGCTGACCCACGTCCTCGCGTCTTGCTCCTCCACAAGATAAGTGGTCTCTCCCTCTGTTGTCCCGTCACTCAGGATTTCTTCCTCAGGGTCACTGCTTTGCCTCCCGCCCTGAGGTCTGCACGTGCCCCCGATCCGACCTTCCTGGGGGTTTGATTCTTGGCAGCGTCCTTCCTGTTGGTTCACGCTTCCATCGGAATGTTGCTTTTGCTCGGGAATCACGTTGTAATGCAGGGTGCTTTCCCTGCCCCAGTCCCCGCTGCGCTGGCCTTGCTGTCCATGGGGGATGCTCTCTGCGGGCCCCCAGGAGCCTCACTGACCAGGGAAGCCCTGCCTGGCCCCGCATCCCGAGAATGGAGCGGCCAGCCCGCAGAGAGCAGCCGAAATCTGCCCTCGTGGCAAAGTCCCCAGGACCCTCAGGCCTCCACCCGCCATGGCTGTGATGTGTCGCTCACCCATTCCCTCAGCCCGCCACCTGGCCAGAAGTGGCCGTGGCTCCCTCCCAGCCCCTCGCTTCAACACCGGTGACCCCAGAAGCCCCACAGCCCGCAGGTCTTCATCCCACAGCAAGAACAGCACAACTCTCTGGGAATGTGGCATCAGTTCTGTCCTTAAGGGAAGACTGTAGGAAGATTCTCTGAGGATTTCAGGCCCATAAGAGCGTGGTCACACAGCGTGGGTCTGCTTTGCCTGCCAACTTTCCCTCTGTTCCCCCAGGGATGAGGGCCCCATCCTGATGGGGGTCTTTTTCCTGGATGTGACAGGTTTTCTGATGAGTCAGTGCCCATTTGTAAACGAAGCCCGCACTCAACTGAGGTGGTCACGGCCATGCCCGTGCTGGGGTCCTGGCGGTGCCTCTCCTGGGTCCTCGGCCCTGTGGGCCTCACACCCTCCAAGAGTGTTGCGTTGCTGCTGTGGCCTGGGCAGATGCAGGACTCCCCTGGACCCTGGAGGGCCCCCCCCCGCCATCCGCCTCCAGAGCTGGGCAGCCCTGGGGTCCCCTTGCCATGCAGGCTGCAGGAGGGGTCCACACACGGCCTGTCTGCCCCCTCCCATCTTGCAGATGGATTTGTGCAGCAGAAGCTGGAGACAGGTCGTCCCAGAAGCTGGGGGCAAGTGGGCCTCGCCCCCCCGCCTGTCCCGAGTGAATGGCTGGTCGAGGCCCCTGCACTCCTTCCAGGCGGTGGCCTGGGTCACGCTCCTCATCATGGCCATTGCCAACTTCGGCATCTTCATTCCCTTCCTGCCGCGTAACTGGAAGTACCTTGCCTACAGTGTATCCTTTACTGTGGGAGCAGGGCCTGCTGTCCGAGGGAGGCCCCCAGAGCTGGCCCGTCCCCCTTGCCGCTCCATCCCCTGCACCAAGTCACCCACAGGTGCAGCCCCTTGCCCTCTGACCCCGCTCCCCCTCTTCACCCCAAACACCCACCGTGGCCACAGCACCCCATCGATATCCTACATGTGTTCCTGTGTGGCTCACTGGCTCGGGGTCCTAGCTAAAAGGACGGACTTGCTCGCCATCAGTTCTGGGAGAATGCTCCTGGTGGCGAGGGGCAGAGGGACCCTGGGGTGGGGCAGAGAGCCCTGAGGACAGGAAGGAGTCACACGGCCAGGGCGGACATGCAGACAAATGGACACGGCCCCGCAACGGCCACACGTGTGGTCGCACACGCAGATGCTTGGGAAGAAGGGTTTCTTCCTTGCATTCGAGCAGCCCGTCTGGCTCAGAGGCTGAAGGGTGTGTCCCAGGGCTGTGCATGGTGTTTCATCTCAGGGTCTGTCCGCAGGTCCACAGTGGGCTGGATCCAGCTGGCCAGGGTGGGGGAGCCACGCCAGGATCCAAGGGGGTGTGTTTAGAGGGAGACACTAATTATAACAGTGGCCCGTCTTCAGCCGCTTGTCCCCGTGCTTTCTTGTTTGGTCCCTCTTGCGACATAGGGTGGGTGGTGGCCGGACCTGGCAGAGAGCACGAGCCTGCCAGCCGCTAGGACCCCTGAAGAGTAGCTCCAGGTGGGCAGACGCTGGGGACGTGGATGCACATGGGGCTGTCACGCAGGCTCCACGGTGCTGGGCCCCGCCCCCCGCCACACGGGCATCGCCCGCCTTGGTCCTTCCTCACGCCTGACCCTGTGGGTGGCGGATCCAGTTCCACCGGTGCACCCTTGTCTAGGGGCCACGCTGGTGGACTCCACCAGTGAGCCTCGGCATCCACCGTGGCCTGACGTGCAAGCCTGCCTCCTCCCCAGCACCACGTGGCCCCGACCTGGCCGGCCTGCCCCTGCGGGGCCCGCAGAGTGCCTGGTCCACAGGAGCGGCGCCGGGGAACATGGGTCCCGTGTGCCCTGGGCACGGCCACCCCACCTCCAGGCCTCCGGTGTCGGGGGGGCGTGAGGCGGGGCCCAGGTACTTGTGTCTTTCACAACCAGCAAGATGGGCAGAGACCGTACCATCTCACAGCCCGCCCATCTTAAAATTTCTCCAGGGGTCCTCAAAACATGCTTTGCCAGGGGTTTTTAACCCAGAATCCAGTCACAGTTCACACTGGGCATGCGGTGATGGGTCTCCTGTCTCGGGCCCCGCACAGCGTCCACCGGCGCCCTGCCCTGCGGGTGGGCGCCCTCCCCACGGCTGGGGCAGCCTGCAGCTGGGCCTGGCCCTCCCCGTCGGAGTCACCCTCTCGCTGGGGCTTGTGAAACAGTGTCACTCCGACCGCAAGCTCAGCTCACGCTCTCGTGCAGGAGACCCACCGCCCGCAAGCTAGCAGCGGAGGGAACGGAGCCCCGGACGCCCACAGGTGTGGGCGGGCTCTCCTGCCTCCCGCTGCCCCTCCTCATCTGTATCCTGATCCTGACTGTGGGTTTGCTCACCTGCTGGGTTAAAATCCTCATCTTCATTGTCCCTTGACCATAGCTCAGCCTGTTTGGGGCCTTTTTGAGCTGCCCGTGTTCTTTGTCCAGGGGGCCCCCGGGGGACTCACCTGCTTTCGGGCCCAGAGGGGGCTTGGGCCTGGGGCCCAGTCTGCGCTGCCCCCAGCGCCAGCCCCCAGTGAGGGATTCTGGCCTGCTTGACAGGCGTCCAGGACTCAGGCTGCCCTGGGACAGGGTCTCTCTCTGCCCAGCACCCCATGGGGCAGGCGACGTCCCTCAGGCCCCTGCAGCCGCCTGGGCGCTGTGCTCTGGCCGCTGGGGGGCGCCGGTGTCCTTCGGTGCCTGCAGGGGTGGGCTGGGGCCCCAAGGAGGTGGGCTGGGCCGGGTTGCAGCCTCCGGAAGCCTCAGCACAGCACAGGAGGCAGACCCTCGGGTTCTTGGCTGACCCTCTGGGTCTGAGCTTCCCCGCCATCCTGCAAAGGGAAGCAGCTCGGTCCCTGTTCCGTAGGGTCCACGGTGCAGAGGGGCTGGCGTCTGATGGGACGTGACTTAGTCTGAGGGCCGGTGGTGTGGCCGGGCCGAGAAGCCCCCGGGGAGCTGCCTGGACCCTGCCGCTGACCTCCGGCTCTGACCCCAGCTCTGGCGTGAGGCAGACGTGCCTGGGGCAGGGGGGGCTCTGGGGGCGCCTCACCTCTTCCTGCTGCAGAACCGGAAGGACGGGAGGGCCTGTGTCCTGGGCTGAGCCCGTGCCTGTTTACCAAACACAGATTGTTGCTAGGGGACCGTGGCCTCTGGGGCAGGGCCTCCTACTTACTGAGGGAGACCTCCTACCCCGTTCCTTTTGCTTTTTGTTATTCACGGGAAACTGAGACACTCTTATGAGAAGATGGCACTTGAAAGTGAGAGCGGGAACCCACCCACCCTGTGACACTTTCGGGGCTCAGCCCATGCTCACTGACATCTAGAACGTGGGACTGATCCAGTAATGGCCAAGCAGAATGGGGCGCCTTTTGCTGGTCCATATCATTCCTGTGGGTGACCTGGGGTCACCTTCTTGAGTGCTGGGCGGCGTTAGGTCAGACAAGCGGGTGGGCTGTGTTCTTGCTTGGGCAGCTTCATGCTCGAGGAGGCTGTCGGGGGACTTGACCTACAGCATGGGGGCGCTGGAAGCCACATCCCTTTGTTCCTGGGGGACAGGTTCTGGGAGCAGCCTGGCGAGGGCACCTGCAGGGCTCAGACATCCGGGGGGATCGGCGGCAGGCAGCTCCGTGTGGCTGGCCCAGCGGCTCAGGTCAGGTGCCTCGGGCGCCTGCACTTGAGGGTCAGAGTGTGGGCCGAGCTGTCCCCACACTGTGTCCCGGGCGGTGGTCTCGTGCGAGCCGAGTGTAGCCATGGGGGCAGAGGGCTTTGAGCACACATCCCAGCCCGGGCCTTACCTGCTGCCGTCCCGTGCTCCCTCCTGGGCACCTTGCCTGCCCGTTTCTGAGGCAGGCGGAGGAGGGGGCCGCACCTGGGCCACAGCGGACTTCCTGCTGCATCGTATGTCCTGCAGCTCAGGACGGGCTCCTGTTGCCCCGGTAACCACACAAACACAGCTCTAGGGAGCAGGTGCAGAGGGACGGGCAAGCCAGCACCATGCCGGTGTCTCCAGCTGTGACCGTGAAGCCCGGCCCAGCCCCTGACCACCCGCCGGCTGCCCACACCATGCATGGAACAGGGCCATGGTCTGCTCAGCAGTGGAGTAGGGGAGGCTCACGCCCTAGCCAGCCCTGCAGGGTCTGGTGGCCACACGCAGGGCCTTGGTGTCTCTGCACCCCCTCCATGGCCCTGAGGGATCTGGTCAGTCCCTTCCTCCTGCAGGTCTCCCAGGGCCTGGCTTGTTCTCAGCTGCCCCTCCAGCTGCCCCTGGCCTGGGCACCAGCCTCCTGGTCTGTCTTGGCCCTCAGCTCACTCTAGCCCACCCTCCTGACAGCCACGCTCCCCCAGCAGGGCTGGCTCCTGTCGCCTCTGTGCCCACGTCTGGCACCCAGAGCCCTGGGTCTATACTGGTGCCTGGAGGCTAGAGGATGAGGGGCCATGAGCAGGTCTGGCCAGAAGCACTCAGGCTTGTTGTGCAGTGGCCTTCACGGAGGCAGGCCCATGCGGAGGCCGAGTGCTGTTGCCTGGTGGGCGACAGACCCCAGACCACAACAGTGGTGGAGCATGAGAAGGACCCCACAGGGGCTGCCCGCAGAATGGAGCTATGACCCCAGCCCCTGCTCAGAGCCTGCAACCCCCTAAAATCACGGCAGAGCGTTGTGCACGTGGCCGGTCATTTCCCCCACCACACCCTGGAGCCCGGCCTGTAACCCTGAGCCCTCCTGCTCGGAGCCAGTCTGGGGAAGCAGGGCAGGGCTGACAGGGAGGCGGCCTCCACCTCTTCTGTTTGGTTTCCATGGGGACGGTGTGTTGGTCCCGAGGTGGAGGAGGAGGAGAGGGTGAGATCGCAGGGCCTGGTTTTACCCTGGATGCCATGGAGGGCGTGGGTGCTGGAGAGCCGGAGGGGCCGGGGGCGGGGAAGACAAGTGAGACGGAGGCGCCCCATAGAGACTGCGTGTGGGCCCTTCCTCCCCACCTTCGTTTCTTGATGACACGCCTGCCTCCTAACCCCACACCTGCTCTTGGAGCTGCCCAAAGAACCCCCACACCTCCTTCGGCACCCAGCATGGTGCCCACCCCCTGCTGACCCTCAGGCCCCCTGCAGGCGCCTCCAGGGCCCTGCTTCCAGCGGGAAAGCCTATCTCCGGTGCGAGCGAGCGTCGTCTCTCGTGGAGGAAGGACGGGGGCACGCTCTGTCGGCCGCAGGGGTGTGAGCGGACCGTCCTGGGACTCGGCCCTTGGCCAGGCGCCGCTCCCGTGGCGCTGACAGCAGCCACCCTGAGTGGGCACCCTCGCTGTATTGTCGATGCCCGGCTGCATGTTCCTTGACGCCCCTTTCCCAGGTGAACGGCGGGCTCTTCTTTCTCCACTTCCTAGTCCACTTGATTGCAGTTTCCATCGATCCGGCTGAAGCCAACGTGAGGTTCAAGAAGAACTACTCCAAGCCTGTGCCGACCTTCGACCGGTCCAGACATGCACACGTGATCCAGAACCAGTATTGCCACCTGTGTGAGGTCCCTGTGTGAGTGCCCGGGTGTGCGGGCAGGCGGTACCTCGGCCTCCCATCGGCTGGCTGGCACTGCTCTCCTTGGACAAGGAGCCGTGGGCCTCAGACGCACGGGCCCCCCCGCTCCAGACGCCCCTATCAGACCTCCGCCCGGGCTGGTCGCGGCTTCCGTGGGCGGCCTGGGAGGGAGGCCCGTGGCTCAGGGTGGGATCTGAGCCCAGCTTCCCAGCTCGATCCCTGGCACCATGTGGCAGGCATGGCCAGGGGAGGCCACCCCACCTAGGGCCTGGTCCTCCCGGCTGCCCGCCTCCCCCCCACAGGCGGGCGGGGGCTTCGACCCTGTCGTCCTCCTGCACACGCTGCCAACAGGCTGGTGGTCCTCAATTCTCCCTTCCCTTCCAGGAGCTCGAAGGCCAAACACTGTAGCACCTGCAACAAGTGTGTCTCTGGCTTTGACCACCACTGCAAATGGCTCAACAACTGTGTGGGGAGCAGGAATTACTGGTGAGGGGGGCAGGAGGGAGCTGGGGGGGAGGGGAGACCCAGGTGTGGGGGAGGGGAGAGCCAGGTGTGGGAGCAGGAATTACTGGTGAGGGGGAAGCTGGGGGGGAGGGGAGAGCCAGGTGTGGGGGCAGGGTGAGGAGTCCAGGGCCCCAAGAGAGGGCTTCTGCAGGCTGGGGGCCTCATGGGTGAGGGGGTGAGGGCCATGGCAGTGGGGGGTCACGTGCTGTCCTCTGTCCTCCTCGTGTGGTCTGGAGTCACCCCTGGATGTGTGAGGTCCAACCTGTGGGAAGGGGCGCGGGCTGAGCTGCCTCGTCCTTGACCCGCTGGCCTGGGCCCGGCCACATTCTCCCAGTGAGGCTGTCCGAGCACAGAGGATGGGGGCCCAGGCTGCACTGGGAGCGAGCATCCAGGCCTGGACAGACTCAGGTGCAGGGCCCCTGAGCATCGCCAGGACCCCACGGGCTGGGGCCTGGGCTCTGAGTGGCCAGGAGGGGCAGCAGAGCTTCCTGCACTCATTCGCACTGGCCCGCGCTGGCTGGTGACGCAGCCGCCAAGGGGCTCCCCTGCTTTCCCACCATCCCGTGGCAGATGTGCCGCGTGCACCCAGTCCTGGAGCTGGAAGACCATGTGAGAAATGCGCGGCTGGCTCAGGCCCGAAGAGGATCGCTGCTTTGAGCAGAAGGAAATACAAAGCTCTCATGATTAGAAAAACCCAATCAGCACTGGGGGACTGGGGGTGCCTGGGAGCCCCCGTCCCACCTCCTCCCTACAGAAGAGAAGCCCTGGGCTAGCGAGGGTGGGGCGGGCCGCCTCCTCACACTAGCAGGGCTCTCTTCTCCTCTGGATGCACCTCCTCAAGGCCTTGCTGCCGCGAGCTGGTCACCTTGAGGCCCAGTCAGCCGTCGGGGGACAGGGGAGGCCCTGCAGGACTGAGTGGGCCAGGCCCCACGGGGCACGCAGGGTGGAGCTCAGAGAGCCTGACGGGGCTCCAGGCACAGCAGGCTGAGGGGGTTCCCAGCAGGGCGAGAAGCCCCTCGACCGCAGGTGAGCCCCAGCAGCCGTCCTGGCAGCCACTGTGCAGGGTCAGCAGGAGGGAGCAGGTGCCTGGCACACAGCAAGGTGGGGGCTGTGTTCCTCGGAAGGAGCACGCAGAGGTGAGGCAGGGGTCAGGGTGAGCACAGGGCCGCCGTCTGTGTGCATCTGCCCCAGATTCCCTCTTGTCCCTTCGACCATCCAGCAGAAAAAGCAAGAGGGAGTGACTGCCTTTAAAAGACGGTTTGTCCAAAAAAGTGGGCAAAGCCTGACAAGCCAGCGAGCCAGGTCTTCACAGAGAAAGGGCTGGATTAGGTGCTGAGGTGCCCCAGATGCAGGAATCAGGGAAGGAAGCGATGCTTCGTGTCCTGAACGTCAGTTGGACAGGCTTTGGCCCCCACCCCATCGGGAATGCTGCCTCTTGCCAGGTGACAGCAGGACAGGACAGCCAAGGGGCTTCCAGCCTGGAGGGGCTCCCTGGGGACCAGAGCCAGGTGTGGGGCCAGGCCTGTGCCCCCTGCAGCTTGGGGACACACAGGAGGCTGGGCCTGTGTAGGATTGCGCAGGAGACGCACCTCGGGGGGCTTAGTGAGGGGCCACGATGCGACGGCCCTCGAGCCAGCAGCTCCCCAGGACCCCAGGGCCATGCTCCACATGCACCCGACCCTTTGGGAATGCTCACGTTTTAGCTCTCCACCTAAAGATGTGTGTAAAGAACCCTCAGGAAGTTCTGGAAAAGCATCATGGAATCAACTGAATTCCAGCTGAAGAAAACACGTTGAGATTGAAACTGTTGAAGGAGTGGCTTCCTTCAGCGTCACAACAGCAGAAAGCCTGGAGGAAGACCGTGCCGTGGGAGCATATTCCAAGAATTGCCGACCACAGTTTATTTTCTGGATGGATGGATCATTCTCTGGGTCTTCTGAGCCAGGCAAGGGGGCAGGAGTGATTTTGGTCTAATGCCAAAGCACAAGATGTCAATTGTGCCCAAAAGTGTGCCTGGCCCCAGGGAGCGTGTGTGGAGATGACCCACTGTGAGCTGTACCCGGCCAGGCACCTGTCATGGTGCCCCCTGGCCTCCCCGACCCAACCTGGCTTCAGTGCCCTTAATGCAGGGACAGCACCAGGACCCCCACCACGAGGAGGAACCGCCAAGTGCTCTTCCAGAGGGACTAGGCTTTGAGCTGGAACTGTCTTGCCTGCTTTCCATCCTGTCTACACTGCTGCACGCACACCCTGAAGTTTTCCTGAATGAGGAGACAAACGTGTTTTCCTTGGCCACTCAGAGCAAATGGTAGAATACAAGAAAATGCTTTCAAGCGTAAAAAGTACCTCAACGATCTGCAGATAATACTGGGGTTACTTGCTCTACCAGCTTTCGAAGTAGCAAATCCGTTACACCATAGTTAGGATACAAACAGAACAATAGAAAGAGTGAAATTAATTAAAAAAAAAAAAAACCATCCGATTCTGTTCAGTGGCAGTGGTCACGACCCCAACTCCAAGCTAAGAGCCACAAGGGCTCATTGTCCACAATTCTGTGACCGGGAGGGAGCCCCCGGTGAGCAGCGGCCGGAATGTGGGGGATCCGTGCCCGCCCGCCCCACGTGGCCCAGAGCCTCTGTGTCCCTCCCTGTGAGCCAGGGTGGCCCCTCCTCACAGGGGAGTTGTGGGGGTTGAAGGGGAGCACGTCTGTAAGCCATGAGGCACAGAAAACGGAGGTGCTATCAGGACGGCCGCAAACCAGCAGTGTCCCCTGGAGTGCTCCAAAGAGGCTCGAAGGACAGGAGACGGGAAGAAGGCTGGGTCTTGGGTTCGGGGCCGGGGACACCCCGCGCGGGTTGCCGCACTTCCGGGGCTGTGGGTCAGCCGGTCCTGAGCCCGGCTTACCTCTGCCTCTCCCGCAGGTACTTCTTCTTCTCCGTGGCCTCCGCCTCGGCCGGCCTGCTCTGCCTGATCATCATCCTGCTCTACATCTTCATCCAGTTCTTCATCGACCAGGAGGAGCTCCGCACGCACCCCTACTACAAAAGTACATGTGGCTCCTCTGTGGCCTTGTTTCCTCTTGGGTCACTCGCAGGTGTTAGCCTGTCCCTCCAGCCACCTCGGCGGTAAAGCCTTCCTTCTGGGGGGCGTCAGCCTGGCCTGCCCCCGGCTGGGTGAGCGACGTGGCTGGGCAGCAGCAGGTTCAGGGCCCGCGGGTGCTGGCTGCTCAGAGACCGTGCTCCCAGGTAGTGCCAGGCGTTGGAGGGGGCCCTCCGCCCCATCACCCTGCAGCTGGTCTGGGTGTGGAACAGGGACGGGTGGGAGGACAGGGCTGCCTGGGGACGGGTTCTGGCTGATGTGTGGCTGCAGGTCTCTGCTAAGTGGTGCAGGAGCCTGGCCTTGGGAACAGATGTGGGATTGGATGGGTCCTCAAAGTTATGACCATGATCTCACCCTTGGACCTGGGACTGTGACCTTATTTGGGGAAAGGGTCTTTACAGATGTGATTAAGGATCCTGAAAGGATCATAGGTTACCCGGGAGTGTGTGTGGAGGGGTGCTGGGTTCGTTGAGAATATCTGTATAAGAGACTGGAGGGACACGGCCACAGCCCAGGGGTGCCTGGAGGCCCAGGAGCTGGAAGATTGAGGACAGATCCTCCCCTACAGCCGTGGAGGGAGCTGGCCCTGCTACACCCTGACTTCCAGTCTCCATGTCTGTTGTTTAAACTGCCCAGTCTGTGGCCATCAGTCACAGCAGCCCCAGACACTGATGCAGGGAGGACTCCCGGGGACCGCCTCCTTTGTCTGTCCTGAGTGCCCAGGGACCTCAGCCCTTAGGGTGCAGAGCAAGGCTGCCTTTCTCAGCCCAGGCCTCTCTCCAGAGCACATCATGGCCCAGCACATAGAGCAGGAAAACAGAGGACCTTGTCGCTCAGCTCAGAATGTTCCAGGGACCCGCACTCGGCCCAGGCTCCAACATCGCTGTAAGGCCCAGCATCGGGCTCCAAAGCGGGTATGGACAGTGCCCTCCTCCCAGGAAAGTGAGCAGCCCGCAGAGCCAGTGATGATCTGCTGGTGGGACCGAGCCCCCACGCCTCCCTTCTCCGGAGCCTGCGCCATTGGAGGGGTCCCACTGCCGTGCAGCCTCTTCCTGGGGGGGCTGTGCCCTGTGCACCTTCACCCCGAGGCCCGCACAGCACGTTGTGGCATGGACTTTCTGACCTGCATCTGCTCTGAAATGCATCGGGTTATTTCTACGGTAAAAGGGAACAACAGGGGTCTCGTTGAGGCCAGGCCCCACTCAGAGGATGTGCACACAGCCAGCTGGAGGCCTCTGCCTGCCACCCCTCCTGACAGTCTCCACATGCAGCCTGAGCCAGAGGGCTAGCCGGAGCCGGCAGCCTCCAGAACAGTCAAGGCTGGGCACTGGGGCTTCCACGTGTAGGCCCACCCCACCACGTGGCTTCTCAATGCCCCTACACACTGCATCTGGTGAGCAGCGACCTCAGCACACCCCAGTGCCCAGAGCAGCACCTCTGTGCGTTTCCTGATGGCCTCCCGACATGGGCGTTAGCTGGGCCGGCACTGCTGTGCGCTGTGAGGACATAGGGCAGGGTGACCCTGGCCTCTCTCTGGGACTTGCAGGCTCTGGAACCACAGTGGGACCAGCTATACGTGAATGCCTGAAGACTGAGGCAATCTCCTGGGTTTGCTGTTCCAGAAGATTCCACGGGGCTGCTTAACCACAGTTCCCTGGGACACTTTGCTGTCATTGGTGGGAACTCATCGGAACATCACCAGCTAAAGGGACAAGCGTGCGGTCCGCCATCCCACGGTCCAGCCAGCCCCACGCACGCACGCGGCCACACAACACAGTGGGCCTGGCAGCCACCGTTCGGGGCGTCACATAAGGGACTGGAGTCAGGGCATTTCAGACGGAATTCTACCTCATGGGCCTGCCTGCAGATTCGTCAGTGCTCTTCTTACACTTAAGTTTGGGGCACAGAGGACCATGTTCTGGAATTGCCCCGAGGCGCTGGCTACAGCCTTCTGGTCCTCTGTGACAGTGGCTGGTTGAGAATGGGGAAGGTCCAGCAAGGACCAGCGAGGACCTGGCTGACGGGCAGGGTGGGTGTTGGGGCCAGGCAGGGGTCCAGGCTCTGGGACCTGGACACTTAGTTAACTTCCTCCAGCCCCATAAGGTGGGATTGTCAGGGGGCTGCAAGGGCACTTAGGTAGGGCAGGGCACACACCTGGGCAAGGAAGAAGAGCTCCCTTGAGCTGGTTTCCTTCTCCCACCACTGACCTCTGTCTCCCGAGGAGAGGTGCAGCCATGCCCCGGGTGCTGGACATGGTGCATGTCTCCCTTGCTTCCACAGAGGTCTCCAACAAGAACACTTGGATGCTCTTCCTCCCCCTTTTCCCTGTAAAGACAAAGACCCCAGTGGTCCTGGGCATTGGGGTGTTCGTGCTGCTGTTGGACATCGTCAGCCTCCTGCTGCTTGGGCACCTGCTTATCTTCCACCTCTACCTAAGTATGTGTCCCAGCCCCTTGAGTTCACATGTGTCCCAAGGCAGAAGACTGCTCAGCTGGCCCCTGCCAGAGTGAGCACAAAAGACAAATCACAGGATGGGAAGAGACACCCCTTGAGGGACAGCAGGGCTCGTTCTGTTCTGAGGCCTGCAGAGACCATGAGAGGGGTTTTCAGAACAAGTTAGAATGTTCAGAGATAAAGGAGCAGAATCTGAGGCAGGAACAGGGCACCTTGAAAAAAGAACAGGGAATTTGGAAAAGCACCAAATCCTAACAATGAGAAACAGTCAACCAGTGGCAGGGTATCTGCTAACCACACTCACCGCAGGGAGCCTGGTTTTCTGATGTCCACACAGCAGTGGCGCTGCAGGCTCCACTGCTCCCTGGCACGGGGGGTGAGGGCAGGACTTCTGCACCCCGTGAAGCCCTTCCTTGAATGTACCTTACTCCGTGTGGCCTCTGTGTGGGAGAGGGCAGCACCAGCGGGCTCTATGTGGCTGCTGGGCTGGTCTGTGCAGGCAGTGTCCTCATGTCCTCCATGGAGCCAGGGCCAGATCGGCCCAGGCCCTTCCTAAAGCTTCTGCACACTGGCCGAGGGGGACAGGGGTACATTTGGGGACAGTGTCCCGGTCACAGCATTCATGATAGCCAGCAGGTGGCAAGTTGGGCAGGTCCAGAAGCCTGCTGCAGCCACTCAGGATGGTCGGATGCAAGACTGGAGAACAAGTCCACGGGACTCACGGCTACCTGGAGATCTGAGGAGAGGGACCAAAGGGCCCCAACTCAGGCACCCGGGAGGGTAGTGGTGCCATGGTCACTGTGGGGGTATGCACAGGAGACCCCTGGAAGGGAGAAGCACACCGAGCTTAGGGCTCAAGGTGTCGCTTATACGGGATTTGGACATCAAAGAACAGACTTCTAGAACAAAGTTGGGATATTAGCTCTTGTTAGAGTAAAATTCCCCTAAAATGTAGCTGCTTAAAACAACAGAGTTAGTGCCTTGCAGTTTCTGTGGGTCCCCCGGCCCTGCTCTTCCATCAGGTGCCAGGAGGGGCCGCGGTCTCATCCGATAGGGGAGGATCCACTTCTAGGCTCATCACCAGAGCAGTGGCAGGTCAGTTCCTGACCTCAGTTCCTTGTGAGTTGGTGGCCAGTGCCTCCTGCCGCTCCTTGTCATGCGGATGCTCCAACACAGAGCATCTTAGCATCTTTCAATGGGGCAGCTGGCTTCAGCTGAGCAGACAAGAGAGGGAGCAAGACAGAGCCAGCCTTTTGTAACCCAGTCATGGAAGTGACGCCCCATCACCTCTTCTGCAAGGCACTGGGGTCAGCCTGCTCTCTAGGGGATAGGACTACATGAAAGCCCTGACGTGGGGGGACTGCTGGGGGACACATCAGAAACTGCCAGCCACTGGATGCTTCATTCCGAAGCTTGGGAAAAGGACACCCAGACGAGTCTGCAGCACATGAGTAGGAGTGGGAACGTTGGTGAGGGCCAGATCTCCCGGGAAGACATGCAGATGTGGGAGTGCCAGCAGCAGGGGTGTGGGGAAAGCCACCTTCACACAAGCGGGAGAGAGAGCATCCCAAAGGGCAGTGGCCCCAAGCTCCTGTGTTAGAGCTGCTAAGGCTGGAGGGAACACGGTGGACCCTCCCTCAGTGTACACTGTGCTCTGGCTCAACCGCATCTCCTCTTGTTACCGTCAGATGATGAGTGTGAGCTCTGGGAAACACACAGTTGTGCTTACCGTCTGATGGTGATGGTAGCTGTGCAAATCCATGCAAAAGAGTGAGTGTTTTCACTAGCATGTAACCAAGTGCAAGTTTATACCCTCCAACAGATAACAGATTCTGAGGGAGTGTGAAGAATGCAGTAAGAACCAGGTGGAGTTAATTGAGAGAGAGAAGCCAAAGCAAACAAAAACAAAAGCGCTTGTACAAACCACCCAGGGAAGGGGATGGGCTGCGTTCTGCAGGAGCTCACTCCACCTGGGAAGAAGCCTCTGAGGGCTCCACGGGGGTGTGTGGAGTGGCCCCCCCTCCGTCTGCTCCTCGAACTGCAAATAGGCTTCTGTGGGTGGCCTTCTCACTTTCCAGAAATAATTAGAAGCCATCTGTCCTCATGTTTGTTAGTTTTAGGAAAAGAGAAATGGGAAGTTGGGCGCCTCCACTGAAGCACACGGCTGAAACAGGCACAGAACCCATTTCATGAATAGTGCTGTCCACTGGGAGGTCTCAGATGCTCTTTCAGTGACCTGGGGTGCTGCTACCACGATGCTGGAGCCAGTGGCTCAGCCCAGCTGAGCTGGGCACAGCCTTCAGTGTAGGTCCATGTTGACTTTGCAGGCCTGGGAGGCAGGCAGGGCAGCTGTTCCTGGGGTGGGGGGCCTCAGGCCTTGGGGGTGTGAGGAGCTGCTGTCTGCTACCCACAGGCCAGATGGGCTCTGGTGTGGCCATCAGCAGCGCCCCAGTGCTCCAGGTTAGGAAGCAGCTCCCAGCACCCTGGGGGGGAGCTCTGGAAGGCCGGGTTGTGGCACGCAGGCCGCTCTGCTTGCGTAATTGCTTGTTTCCTCCTCTCTCCTGTCTAGTGGCCAAGAAGTTGAGCACATTTGATTACATGACACAGGGCCGCCAGCAACAGACTCCAAAAGCTTCAGCAGAAAAGGAAGAGCTGTCCCTCCAAATAGGATTCCCACAGGTACCAGGTGTCCCTCTGCTTCACCATTCATATTATCTAGGCCTGGGACAATGCCCAGGGTCACCTTGCAGCTGGGACTTCTCAACCACAATCCTTTGTTTCTATGTTGGCACAGTCCTCTGAGTCTGTGTCTGTGTGTATATGTGAGCCTGCATGGTGTGAGATGCAGTGCATGTGTGGTTGTGTGTGTATGTGTGTTTGGTGTGAGATGCAGTGCATGTATGGTTGTGTGTGTATGTGTGTTTGGAGTGATGCAGTGTATGCTTGTGTGTGTGACTGTATGAGTGTGCATGATGTGTGTGATTCAGTGCATGTGTGTGTGGTTGTGTGTGCATATGTGTGTGATACAGTATGTGTATATGTGTTGTGTGTGATGCAGTATGTGCATGTGCGTGGTGTGTACAATGCAGTGCATGTGTGTGTGTTTGGTGTGTGCTGTGCATGTGTGTTATATCATTTCTACATTCACTATCTATAAAATCAAGCCAGCGGGGCTGACTCCTTTTAGGCCCACATATTTCCACAGCTGCTTCTCATCAAAATTAAAAACATTTGCTTTTCAAAAGGTCACCATTAAGAAAATGAAAATATAAGCCACAGGCATAAATGAAATACTTATAAATCATACACTTGTGTCCAGAAAATATAAAGAACTTTCAAAATTCAATTATAAGAAAATGACCCAGTGCTTTAATTTTTTTTTAAAGATTTTATTTATTTGCGAGAGAGAGAATGAGAGACAGAGAGCACGAGAGAGAAGGGGTCAGAGGGAGAAGCAGACTCCCCACCAAGCAGGGAGCCCGATGTGGGAATGAATCTCGGGACCCCAGGATCCTGACCCAAGCTGAAGGCAGTCGCTTAACCAACTGAGCCACCCAGGCACCCTATAATAACATTTTTTTAAAATGCTTACGATATAATGAGTGGGGAAAAGCAATATAAAATTACATTTATGGCAAATTAGCAGTTGTATAAAACAAAAATCCTATAAATGGGGAAATAAAGACTGATGGGAAATGCATTAGGATGAAGGAACTCTGGGTAAGTTTTAGTTTTCTTTTCTCTATTTTCCAAAGTGTTAAGCATATTCACATGATTCTTAGAGTAAAAATATATGAAATAATATTTAAAATTATTTTAATATTTAAAAAGAAGGAAAAGAAAAAATGGTGCATTGGACTTCATCAAAATTTAGGGTTAGATTTGAACAAACTTATGTGAAACGATGCTCAGCATCGTTCAAGATGTGGGAAAGCAAGTTGCAGCCACAAGACGAGGGTCCTGCCGTCCACTAGAATGGGGGCGACCCAACGGAGGTGCTGTCAGGGCTGGTCAGTACTCATCAACAGAGTCGCGTCCGTCGCCGCGGGCACAGACTGTGGCTTAAGTGACAAACCCAGGATCTCCCGATCTGGAGGCTGGAAGCCTGAGATCCAGGTGTTGTCAAGGTTGGATTCTCCTCAACCCCGCACGTCCTTGCATGGCCCTTCCTCTGTGCACCTCCGTCCCCGCTGCCGCCCCGCACACAGACCCGTCACCAAGGTCAGGGCCACCAGGTGGCCTCACTTGACATGCACCCTCTGTATGGCCCTCATGGCCAATGCAGGCACACTCGGGGTGCCCCGGGGGTCGGGGCGCCAGCCGTGAAGCAGGAGGGCACAGAGAGAGGCAGGGGCGCAGGGCAGGGAGGGAGGTGCTCTCCTGCCCTGGACCCAACGTGAGCTAATAATGGACTTGGGTTTTAAGCATGTCAACCACCCCTTCGGTTCTCATGCTATGAATTATCATTTACACCCTCGCAGGACACAGGCAGCAAACTGACGTCATCTGCACCGGGGTAAGTTTGCGAGTGTCCCGGACTGTTTCCTCTGTCTGAAAAATAGCCGTGGCCTCGTCCGACCGCCATTCCCGAGGGAAGGAGTGGGATGGAGTATCTCACAGTGCTGTGGCCATGGGTCAGAAGACGGAACAGTTTCCCTGACATCACAGACAGGGTGGCCTCTGCCGTGGCTCATCACACTGGCGTTCCTTGGAAGTCAGAGTAACGCTTCTGGGCGTCGTCCCCAGGGATGTGAGCTCATGGCAAGTGTGAGTGGTGCTCATTCATCCTCCTCCCGCGAGTGCTCGTGGGTGCAGCAGCGTTGGGCGGAGTCAGGCTCACCCTCTTGTCCTCAGTCGTCCTGGGGCTGCAGCTCGGCCCGCAGCCGCGCACACAGGCCCCCCCAGGAACACACGGCCTTTCCACCCTCCCTGCCGTGGGGCCAGAAAGTGGCCCCGGACAGACCGTGGCCCGGTTTCAAGCACACGTTTTGAAGAGTAAGATCAGGTGCAGGGGAACGTACAGACTTCTGTCCCCATGACAAACCTGCACAGCCTCGACAGGCCACCTTCTCCTGGAATACTGAGTAGCAGGAGAGATTCACAGCGCCAGCGTTAACAAGCTCTGGGTCTCTTCGGCACCATTCACCCAAGCACACACTGAGCACGGGCTCCCTTCGTCCTTAAGAGGATAATTCTGTGAAACATTTTCCTAGGTGGTTTGTAGATATTGTGTCCTTCTTCCAGTGCCATTGAATGTAATTTAAAAATAAAATTAAAAAGGACAAGGCATTTACTTGAATCTCACCCACCAAACACACAGACACATAGGCCCCTCTCTGGCCCTCGCCCCCTCCCTGCCTGGCCCCCACCTGCTGAGCAGGGTGTGGGAGAGGCTGCTCCGGCCCCCCAGGGAAGCACCCTGCCCCTCCCTCTCTGCTCTTCCACACCCCTTGGCGGCCACGGCCCTGGCCCAGTCTCCTGGGGGGGCCTCTGCTGGGACCATGAAGGTGATGGTGCTGATGGTGGAGTCAGATGGCCATGCTGGGGATGCGGACAGGGATGAGGACAGGTTATTGGAGGGGATGGGAAGGAGGCTATTCTCTTGCTCCGGAGAGACACCCACACATGGTGCTTGTGTGAACTGGTCCATGTTCCGCTGGGTGTCCCTGAGACCTCCGGACTGGTCAGGACACCTGGCGTCATCCTGCACCGAGCTGGCTTCCTTCGTTCCAACCCAGCAGCCCTGGGTCACGGGGCAACGAAAACGCTATTAGTCCTTTTTTGTTGCAGAAAATATTTCCGTGGTAACCTAACAGTTTGGATCCAGGTGACCAGTTGGCACTTTAGACACCCCCCTACCCCCTGCTCCCTGGGCCTGCAGGAGCAGGTGGAGTCTCAGGCCTGGAGCCAGGCCAGGGGAGAACATACCCACCCAGGGCCTCGGTGGGTGCTCATCACGGGCACGTGTTAGTGGGGAACTTGGTAGAACTTCATGCAGCGTCTCTTCCTGATGGTCAGACAGACTTACTGGTCTGTTCATCTGTTGGGGATGTTCAGTTCGCTGACTGTATAGAAATCAGCCAGACAGAATGAATATATGAATAAGGAGGATCTATCCCACAGATGAAGCTACTTCTGTCTGGCTTTAAAGGCGTCTCACGCGGCCGAAGTCCACCAGGTGGTTTGTTTTAATTTTCTGCTGTGGTGGAGGCGCAGGGTCCTTCCCACAGGAGCCCCCTGCTTGTCTCTTCCGCAGGACTTGCCCCAGGCACTCAAACAGCTCCCAGCTGCTGCCTGTTCCGCTGCCGCAGACAAGAGGGGACCCCAGCAGGGAGACGTCCTGCAGGGTCCCCGTGTACTCACCGACACAGTGAGGGCCTCCTTGGTAATGTCTTTCTCCTCCCCATCCCGCTCTAGCAGACCCAGGAGGAAGGTGCTCCTGTCGCGGTCCGAGTCCTCAAGCCTGAGGTCCACCACCACCGCCAGCCCAGAGAGCGCCCTGTCGCTGCAGGTGAGCCCAGGATTGCTGACGACCGAGCTCAGATGCAGGGGTGAGACCCTGGGTCCCCCCAAAGCTGGGGTCGGCATCGTATTCCGGATGCTCGTTGCACTCGCGCTCAGTGCTTCTTGGGCACCGGGGTGCTGCTCAAAGGGCAGCAAAGGTGTGTGTGGAGTAGGAGGAAACGTGAAGGGCAGATCATGCTCCTGACGTGGGGCCCGTGCGTGCGGGATAGAGGCAGATGGAGTCCCCACGCGGTGCCCCTGAGCCAAGCCTTGTATGCGCGCTCGGGGGACGCATGCTGGTACGATAGAGGATATAGGGCTGGACGCTCGCTGCGGTAGACTCCCAGGGGTGGTGTTTCAGAGGTGTTCTTTGTGTGATCCTTTCAACTTTCTGTGTGTTTGAGCTTGTCGTAGCCCATGCTGGGGAATAGCTCTGCAGGAAGCAGAAGGGGCGTGAAGAGGGGGTGTGTGTAACTGATGGTCACCAGAGCGTGTGAGCATGTGTGGGAGCCACACGTGGGCTGGAGCGAGGACGCCTGCTAAGAAGGGCTGGCGGCCCCAGGACTGGGTGTGGGCGGCCTGCGTGGTGCAGCAGCAGGTCAGGGAGGCACCGCATGGTGCTGGCCCTGCCAGCAGGTGAGTACAGACCCTGGCGGGGCAGGGCTGCTGGGAACACGGCTCCCCAGGTGCTCCCTTCCAGAGTGACCCATGGGACTGCCCACCGCCCCCAGCCCGTGGGGCCCAAGGCTCAGGACAATGCTCTTGAGCCCTTGGCTTTGAGCTTGGAGAGCCCCCTCCCAACTAAGGAGACTCAGACCCCAGCCCTCAGATGGCCATGCACGGTCACTGAGCCCACACCCCAGACCAGCCTGGGGCCTCCTCCCCACTGTAGGCTCCGTCCAGAACCCGCATGTGATCCTGATTCCCTGTGCGCCCGGCTTCCCGCCAGGCCCACCTCCCTGTGGGTGACCCCAACGCCTGTAGCTCTCAGCCAAGTGGTTAGAAAAGAATGGGCCCCATAAGGGGCACTTGGACTTTGGGTCCATTCTGGTGTGGAGATGTTACTGGTCCCACACCCCAGAGGAAGTTTCTTAAACCCCACTGAGTCCCTGGGTCTCCACGAGGACACTCGCTGCGGTAGACTCCCAGGGGTGGCGTTTCAGAGGAGGTTAGGGCGTAGGGCTGTCACTTCCCAGAGCAGGATGTGCGAGGACTCAGTGAGAGGTTGTGAGCACTTCTGCCAGCGTCAGGCTCAGACTGGTGCTCAGTAAATGCTAGCCCCCCGCCCCAACACCTTGTTTTAGACCTTGGTGCACATTAAGCATAATCCTTGTCTGGGACACAGACTCATCATTGATCTATGCAAACCCTGCTTTCTAAATTTACTCCATATTTCCTTTATTTTTGGTGTCAGAGGAAGCACCAACAACCCAAGAAAAGGCAGGGTCCTGATGAGGTCTACATCTGCATATGCGGCCCCAGTCACTCTCTTTGTTCTTGTGTTTTCCTTTTACTTCCGTGTTTCAGATCATACCTATTCCTAAAAAATACATACATGCAATTCATTGGTTACTCTTTGTTTCACAGAAAGGACACAGTGTATATGTGATGTTTGGAATTTGGGGGAATCACCTTTTCACTTACTACTTAATGGTCAAGTTGGCTGTGCCCTGTCTCGTGCTGCTGAGTCCCTTTGCCTTCCTTCTGTGACTCTTTCTTCCTGCCCCACACTCACTCGGCCCCTCTGCTGTGGGCGCGCAGGATGGACACCCCTGTATGGTCTCTGTAACGAGCAGCGACTCTGCAAGATAAGGCCAGACTCTTTTCTAAAGGGGGTGCGCAGTCTGCACTCCCACAGAAGTGTATATGAAACCCTGTTGGTCCATATCCTCCCCAACACCTGGGGCCCAAACCCAGTGGTGCGGGCTGGTGGCTTCCTGTCCCTCCCAGAATTACCCCCATGACTGACGATGCTGGACGTGCATTAACCATGTAAGTTTCCTCCTATGGGACGTGCTTGCTCTTGTCCTTGGTCCATTTTCCTGTCATGCTCTTTCTGCTTTTCTTTTTTTTTTTTTTTAAAGATTTTATTTATTTGAGAGAGAGAGAATGAGTGAGAGAGAGTGCACATGAGAGAGGGGAGGGTCAGAGGGAGAAGCAGACTCCCTGCCTAGCAGGGAGCCCGATGCGGGACTCGATCCCGGGACTCCAGGATCATGACCCGAGCCGAAGGCAGTCGCCTAACCAACTGAGCCACCCAGGCGTCCCTCTTTCTGCTTTTCTTACAGATTTATTTGAATTCTTTATATATTCTTGATACAAACCACTCGTTAGTTGGGTGAATTACAGATAGGGTGTCACAGAGCAGCTTGAATCCATGCTCCGTTTAACCTGACGTTTGATGAGCCTGAGCCATACCTTTCAATATACTCACACTTACACATATTTTACAATAATGCTTCTTGGTCTCGATTCATCTTTAACCCAAGCATCTAAAAGAGAGTCATCTGTACTTTCTACTACAAGTTTTCAACACTGAATTTTGAGAGTTGAGTTCTGTGTGGTTCACTGGTGGGTTTGGTGTGAGGTACCGATCCAGCGTCATCCCTCCCCTGTGGGTTTCTGTTGTTCCAGCTGCAGTCACAAAACACCAAATGGACCCTCTTTTCCCCACTGATCTGTTTTCTGTATGCCTCATATGTTTTTTATTCCACAATAAAAATGTATTGTATTTAGCTGAATTTGCATACTGTGCCGTTTTTATTCCCTTCTTTCCTTCTTATATTTTTTAGTTATCTTCTTACTGGTTACCTTGGGGATTATAATTAACATCTTTAACTTATAAGAGTCTATGTTGAATAATACCAACTTAATTTCAATACCCTACAAATACTCTGCTCCTATACATCTCCATCCCTCTTCTTTTATACTCTTAATGTCACAGATTACATCTTTACACATTGTGTGCCTATTAGGAAAGACTTATAATTATTGTCTTATGAATAAGTCTTTTAAATTGCATGGAGAAGAAGAGGACCTACAAACCCCAAGTATAACAACCTTGGCTTATATATTAACCCGTGCGGTTATCTTTACCAGTTCTTTATTTCTTCTACTGCGTAAAGCCTCCATTTTAGCCCAAAAAGCTCCCTTTAG